TCACTGGATCGATATATTACTCGGAGGAGCACAGATATAGGTGGCCGTACATTTTTGTATATTCAGTAATTCTCATTTTGTATTTTATTATCCATGCCGATTTGTTGATTACAAAAATAACAAATAAAAAGAACTTACTGAAAGTCTTTCTGTGTTAGTTCAGTCAGTGCACGATGTTTTCAGAACATACGCTAGGAATAAGAAGAAACAGAAATGGATTAAACCTATTGTCCTGACGTGTTTATCCACATCAATGCTATAATGAAAAGCGACACAACCTTTTCCACATCCATAAGAAGCTGTAATGTAAACATAATTTATTTGTATTGCCATGAGACTAAAGGTAAATACGTTTAATTAGGGAATTTTGCACAAAACAATTTGCAATATTCAAATGTGTGGCCGTGTACCAACAGAAGTATGTTTGCTTGAGTGAGTGAGTTTAGTTTTACGCCGTACTCAACAATATTCCAGATAATTGGCGGCGGTCTGTAAATAATCGAGTCCGGACCAGACAATCCAGTGATCAACAGCATGAGCATCGATCTGCGCAATTGGAAACTGATGACATGTGTCAACCAAGTCAGCGAGCCTGACCACCCGATCCCGTTAGTCGCCTCTTACGACAAGCATGGGTTACTGAAGATCAATATTATATGTTAGAGGCCGTGGGGTAGCCTAGTGGTTAAAGTGTTCACTCGTCACGCCGGAGACACAGGTTCGAATGTATACATAGATACAAAGTGGTGTCTCCGAAAATGTTGCTGAAAGCGACATAAATCTAAAGTCACTGATCTAATCTCACTCATGATAAATGTTTGTGAGAACAATAATGAAGCGTCCGTAAAATGTCAAGAGCTTTTTTTGATAAGGTTGTTCTGTGGTGTGAGTGAGTTTAGTTTTACGCCGTAGTCAGCAATATTCCAGCTATATGGCGGCTTCTGTGGTGTGAATAACAACCATGGATTAGACTCAACTCCATACCTCACACCCGTCTCAAAGTTCCTTGCTCGAGACCCTTCGACGCCGCACACAGCAATATTCCTGCTATATGGCTGCGGTTTGTAAAAAATCGAGTCAGCAAATCCTGTGATCAACAACATGAGCATCAATCTACGCATTTGGGATACGATGACATGTGTCAACCAAGTCAGAGAGCCTGACCACCCGATCCCGTTAGTCGCCTCTTACGACAAGTATGGGTGGCTGAAGACCAATTCTAACACAGATCTTCACGGTCTAAGGCCCTTCGAGGGGGATTGGTTTCTACCAGTCTGGCTGTATGTTGGGGAGGTCGGGCAGAGCGGACAGGTGGGGGTAAAGTCATTTGAACCACTAGACAGCGCCCCTGACAAACCCTTTCCACATCCATAAGAAATCTCTGTTAAAAGCAGAGTCGATTTACAATTGTGACTATATCATTAGTATATATTTTACTTGTTTCAGCAGTATTAGGACTGTACGATGTTGTTTGTAAACAAATCATGTCCGTACCAGATAATCCAGTGATTGTCACCATACGATACGATGACAGAGCATGTATTTATGAATCACTATGACATAGTGATGATACCAGGTGTTCGCGAAAAGGTGAGCGTATCCTGCTCTACCTGTGCCACGTGTCATAAACATATGCATAGACTAGTCAATTGTTCACCTGAAATAATTCGGGAACGTATGGTATAAGTCAAAATAGGGAATTGTGTGGAGGGTAGGATAATAGGCCCACTCAGAAAAAAGCCCCCAGGCAAAACGTCCCTAAGCTAAACGCCCCCATGACAAAAAGCCCTCAATGGTTAGGAAAAAAAGGCCCTCAATGAAAAGATGTAATAGAATACCAACAAATCCTTTTGCAGCACATTAATTTATTCTCACATGAATATATTATTTAAAATAGTATATAAGATTTAACATCAGCAACATGACGCATATATAATGGCACATAAATAGCTACAGGAACACTATCATACAGTTTATTCCTGAACGTGGTGATACTGACTTTGGTAGTGTCAGAAGGATGATTGCGTTCCTTTGTCACGATCGGGTCTTCTATATTCAGGTTGGTGTGTGGAATACTGGGACAATCCAAGGCTGATCTATTTGTACATTGCCACCCAGTACGACTAATATTTGAACTTTTCTTGGTTTACATATACCCATCTAGAATAACTTTTCTTGGTATACATGTACCCATCTAGTATAACTTTTCTTGGTATACATATACCCATCTAGTATAACTTTCTTCGTATACATATACCCATCTAGTATAACTTTTCTTGGTATACATATACCCATCTAGTATAACTTTTCTTGGTATACATATACCCATCTAGTATAACTTTTCTTGGCATACATATGCCCATCTAGTATAACTTTTCTTGGTATACATATACCCATCTAGTATAACTTTTCTTGGTATACATATACCCATCTAGTATAACTTTTCTTGGTATACATATGCCCATCTAGTATAACTTTTCTTGGTATACATATACCCATCTAGTATGATAACTTTTCTTGGTATACATATACCCATCTAGTTAACTTTTCTTGGTATACATATACCCATCTAGTATAACTTTTCTTGGTATACATATACCCATCTAGTATAACTTTTCTTGGTATACATATACCCATCTAGTATAACTTTTCTTGGTATACATATACCCATCTAGTATAACTTTTCTTGGTATACATATACCCATCTAGTATAACTTTTCTTGGTATACATATACCCATCTAGTATAACTTTTCTTGGTATACATATGCCCATCTAGTATAACTTTTCTTGGTATACATATACCCATCTAGTATAACTTTTCTTGGTATACATATACCCATCTAGCGCTAGCTTGACACCACCTTTATTGTTCTAAGAACCTCCATGATGCAGTGTGATAAGTAAGGAGCAAGTGACCAATTTTAGCCAATTCTCTGAAACAACATTTAGCAGACTTCATTCCATTGTTAAAATAATATCGTGACTGAGGATCCTGGGTGCATATGGGTTTACATATGTTACTTACTTGTAACAACTGTCAACAGTGGGAGGAATTGCTTAGAAAACATCGTGTTATCACCTGTCAACCCAAAATCAACACAAAGGGTGTTTTATCCTATGGGTGAAATTGTGCAAGGGCTTTTTGTCATGGGGGCATTTAGCCTAGGGTTTTTTTGGTCCGAGGGCTATTTGCCCACCCATATCTCAGACGGGGTATGACACCTCTTCAAGAACAGGTTTTGTGTATGTTGTGTTAGTGAGACGACACAGTGCAAAGCCCTATTCTAGTCAATTGTCCTCCTGATATAATTCGAGAACGCATGGTACAAATCCAAATGAGAATTGCATCGGAATCGCCGTCAGTATGAAATGTGATATGCGTGGGATGGTCACTTCTCTCAGACCAGAGTGATTTGACGCCTCAGCAAGAACAGGTTTTGCCTGATGTTGTATCAATGGCACTACACAGTACAAGGCCCTTAAAACTTATTTTAGTTCTTGTTACCTAAGTGACTTGCCATGTATATTCACTGTGACTGACTGTATACAAACAGCAACATCTAATGTTGAATATATCTGGCAACAATCGATAGGGAAGGGTGGAATCAGTAATGACAACCCGGGTGGCAAAGCAAAACCTTTTACAATCAATACCCACAATGTCCCCAGCTACTCCCGTACTGTTCATCATTTAGAGCCTTTCAAACCCGGGCTAGAGATCGATGACTTAACATAGATTTTTCTTGGTGGTTATACAGTGGACACTCTGATAAACAATGAACCATATGGATCACAACATTGAGACGTAGGATGACATTTTATATGTATTCTGTATAAATCATAATTTAACTGGCTCGTGTATTGTAACTGGGTATGATAAATATTCAACTTTTTACAGCATGAGAAAAACACGAAGGTGCAACACATTTTCTTTTATGTACGACTAAAACTGGAATGCAGATGCCTTATACCTTGAATAGTGTTCCATAACCTTACAGTCGATGGAATAATAGAGCTAGTTGAGCGCTTAGATCCACTGGATGGAAAATCAGTCTGGAATTCTGAAGTCATATAATATATTTGAACGGACAGTAGTTGGAAGAGTATCTTTAATATATATGTACATTGTATTTTGCATAACAATTGTGTTTCACATTCCTCCTTCGTGCTTCGACGCCATATAGCTGGAATATTGCTGAGAGTGGCGTAAAACTAAACTCACTCACTCACCTAACGTTTCCATTTACATCTAATCCGAGAAGATCCCGGTTAGAATCTGTCTTCAGCGACCCATGCTGGTCGTAAGAGTCCACTGACGGTATCGGGTGGTCAGACTCGCTGACTTGGTTGACACATGTCATCGTATATCGAGTGCGTAATGCGATACTCATGATGTTGATAGCTGGATTGTAAGATTTGATTATTTACAGACCGCTGCCACACAGCTGGGTTATTGTTGAGTGCGGCGTGAAACATAAAACAAACAGTCATATAACCTCTTCTAGAGGGAAGTATTATCTTGGGAGCCCAGAACATATTCTGACAGTTCGAGAGTTTTTAACAATTGACAATTCTACATTACACTAATAACACGTAAAACGCTTTTCTGACACGCAGTAATGTATTCCAGTTCAGGATAAACTGTCACTGCATTTATCCTGAATATCTAATACTGAATATATCTGGCAAACATCTATGAGGAAGGATGGAATCCGGTATAGGTGAAATGATATAACTCAATTATCAACCCAAGCGACATCCACAGTGGTATCGTACACACCTTTAGAATCAATTATCAACCCAAGAGACATCCACAGTGGTATCTGTTACGTGGTATGCAAGTGAACGCACTAATTGCGAGTTACGTCCCTTTGATATGTGTGCTACGTCATTAGTTGGTGTAGTCAGCCATGATGTTCAAGTAAAAAGGATCATCGTCCATCTCCTCTTTTGTTGTGCCTTGTTCTGAATCACTACACATAAACGAACACGTAACATGATGGCAGCAGGTGACTACGAATGCTCTCGCCCGTATGATTTCGCTCTCAATAGTGAAATTTGACTCTCTCTCTTACTGTAATGTGTTGAACTCTCGCCCTAACACAACCCACGTGCGTCGTCCTTGTGGATGTGTAGTGAACTCAATCTCTCTTCTCTATTCACCGATATGGTAGATCAAGTCCAGGCACAACCAGTTCTCAAACCGGTTAGCGGAATTAGACCTCCAAACTTCAATCTTGACTCCAACATTGCCGAAACATTTTCGTCAAAAATGGAGAAACTACTACATTCTCACTAAGCTATCTGACTATCCTCACAAGTATCAAGTTGCCATGATTCTAAACACTCTCAGTGATGATGCCATGAAAATCTATAATGGATTTCACTTTACTACTCCTGAAGAGGAAAGGACTGTAGCAGAAATCATTGAAAAGTTTGATGCATTTGCAATAAGAGAAGTAAATGAAACATATGAACGTTTTGTCTTCAATAACAGACGTCAGAAGGAAGGTGAATCGTTTGAATCATTTCATGGTGCAATCAGAAATCTTGTAAAAACATGCAACTATTGCAGGGAGTGTGTACCCTCTATTGTTAGAGATCGTCTTGTGCTAGGGATTAGAGATCAGACAACTCAGCAATCTTTGTTGAGAGAACGAGGCTTAACTCTAGAAAGATGTATTGACATTTGCAAAGCTTCTGAAAATGCCTCTACTCAATCTAAGGTTCTCAGACCTGAACTTGTGAATAAAGTTTCTCACAGACCTGCTAAGAACAGTCAGAAAGGTGCTAACAAGGCTAGGCCTCACTCTTCAAACTCTTCTCAGTCTCACAACAGACAACAAACTACTAGTCACTCATCTGCTCAAACCAGAGAATGTCTTTATTGTGGAAATACTCACGTTATGATAAAGAACAGTGTCCAGCATGGGGAAAGACATGCTCCAAATGTAAACGCAAGAACCATTACTCTTCTAAATGTGACTCTTTGAAAACAGAAACCACAAAGTCAATAATGTGAAATCATCGAATGATGATTCGTTGGATCATGAGGAGGATTGGGTATTCTCTGTACAAGCCAAACCTCAGAGACCTGTTCAGTGTCGCATGACAGTCGCGGACTGTGACGTCATCTTCACCATCGATCCTGGAGCTTCTGTGAATGTTTTACCTGTGACTGTAGTTCAAGACAAGATTGGTGAACTCCAACCCACAACCAAGAATCTCAAGATGTGGAACAACTCCGACGTTACTCCACTTGGGTCAATACGACTCTCTGTAAGCAACCCAGCTAATATGAAGAAATACAATGTCGAATTCACAATTGTCGAGGATGAGTTGACCCCTCTTCTTGGTGTACGTGCAGCTACACAGATGGGACTTGTGTCGTTCAATGAGAATAACATTGAGCGAGTGTCTTACGTGCAAATTGAGGACAACTACAAAGATGTTCTTCAAGGGATTTTAGGTAGTTTTGACGGCACCGTCCATCTCTCTGTGGATGACACTGTGACCCCTGTTGTCATGCCCTCTCGTCGTGTGCCGATTACTCTCCGTCCGAAACTGAAAGCTGAACTGGATCGTATGCAGAAACTTGGTGTAATTGCTCCGGTCAGTCAGCCCACTCCATGGGTAAGCCAAATCGCCATTACTCAAAAGCGCTCAGGTGATCTCAGGATTTGTCTTGACCCACAAGAACTCAATAAAGCACTCCAACGGGAACACTATACTCTTCCCATTCTTGAGGACACTCTCCATGAACTCGGACAGTCTCGTGTCTTCTCCAAAGCCGATCTCTCATCTGGATACTGGCATTGTGTACTCGATGAAGAATCCAGCTTCATCACTACTTTCCAAACCTGTTTCGGGAGGTACAGGTGGCTTAGGCTCCCTTTTGGATTGAATGTCTCATCTGAGATATTCCAACGCAAACTCACTGAAGCGTTAGATGGTCTACCTGGCGTAGTGTGCATCGCCGACGACGTACTCATACATGGAAAAGATGTCAATCACCATGATGAGAACCTCAAGCAGTTTCTTACTCGATGTCGAGAAAAGAACATTCGACTTAACCCCAACAAGTTAGAGCTCAGACTCAGTGAAATCACATTCATGGGTCATGTGATCACGAAAGACGGACTCAAGTCGGATCCAGAGAAGGTCAGGGCCATACATGACATGCCTGTCCCTTCCAACACTGAGGAACTACGTCGCTTCCTTGGGCTAGTGAACTATCTAGCCAAATTTCTCCCAAACCTGACTGAAGTCACAACTCCAATGCGCAACCTCACGAAGAAGGATGTACCCTGGACATGGTCCAAGTCTCAACAAGACTCCTTCGACAAGGTCAAGTTTCTAGTCTCATCTACTCCTGTATTGTCATTCTATGACCCAGCAAAACCAGCAACTCTTGAGAATGACGTCTGTGAACATGGACTTGGTTCTGTGCTGTTACAGGAAGGCCGTCCTGTCGCATATGCTAGTCACTCTTTAACTGATGCAGAAAGGCGTTATGCGCAAATTGAGAAAGAACTACTTGCAGTAGTCTTCGGCCTACAGAAATTCCATCACTATACTTATGGCCGACATGTGTCTGTCATCACAGATCACAAGCCTCTTGTCGCCATAGTGAGGAAAACCTTTGTCAAAAAGCTCCTACTCGTCTCCAAAGTCTCCTACTCAGAACTCAAACCTACAACTTTGACCTCCAGTATCAACCAGGAACCACTATTCCAATTGCGGATACTCTCTCTCGAGCTCCTCTACCTGACAAGACACAGCTAGAGCCTGTACAGGTGAACAGTGTGATGTACACAAACATCACAGACCACAGCCTTGATCAGATCAAAGCAGCTACTTTGACTGACGACATACTCTCTCAACTCAAGACCGTCATTGTGCAAGGCTGGCCTGATATCAAGAATGATCTCTCGCCTGAACTGAGGACCTACTTCAGTTATCGTGATGAACTGACTGTGCATGATGGTCTCCTTCTCCGTGGATCACGCGTTGTGATTCCTGCCTCAATGCGTGAAGAGCTGAAGAGAAAACTTCATGTGGGACACATGGGAATCAACTCTTGTCTCCGACGTGCTAAGAGTACAGTTTTCTGGCCCCTGATGTCAAGTGACATCAGACAGTACATAGAATCTTGTGACATATGCCAGAAGTTTTGTGACAAGCATTCTCCTGAACCACTCTACATGCATGAAATTCCTGATCACCCCCTGGGAAAAAGTTGGAAGTGATATCTTCACCATAGAAGGAAGAAACTACTTGGTAACCACCGATTACTACAGCAACTTCTTCGAGTTAGACTTCCTACCAGACACTACCTCAGAAACAGTGCTCCACAAACTGAAGCATCACTTTGCCCGCCATGGCATTCCTCGCGTCATCATCAGTGATGGCGGTCCACAATTCACAAGTGAGAAGTTTAAGACATTTTGTGAAACATGGGGCCTTGCTCACGAGCTATCCAGTCCCGGGGAACAGCAAGGCGAATGGAGCCGCAGAAGCTGCTGTGAAAGTCGCTAAGCGAATGATGAGAAAATGCAGAGAAGCTAAAGAAGATCCCTACCTAGGACTCTTAAACATTAGAAATACTCCTACTGAAGGTATGGAGACCAGCCCAGCCCAACGCCTGTTTGGACGTTCAACGAAGACTCACCTGCCAAGCCCGGTCTCCAACCTCAAGCCTTTGTCTGAGACCAACACCACAGCCGACCTGGTCGACAGACGCATGAACGTACTTGCCAGACATAACCGCAAATACTCTGGTAAACCACTCCCACCTCTCAACATAGGCGATCATGTCAGAATGCAACCAATTCAGCATGAACAAAAAGAATGGACTCAAGCCACTGTGCAATCTAAGCTGAAAAGTCGCACATACACTGTCATGTCCAAGACTGGGCAGACCTATAGAAGAAATCGCCAACAGTTACGCCTGACGCGTAACCCTGTGAACAACGACCCTGAGCCTGAGGCCGTAGACAACACTCCTATTCACTCTGAAGGAGGGGTTAATGTGCAGTCCGATGACACTCCCGAGACAATAACTAGTGTTGTTCCTGGCATCCCTGTCAGCAAACAGCACCCTGTTCCTGAGAGCACTCCAGAGACAGTTCAAGTGCTCCCCTACAGAACTCGGTCCGGCCGTGTCGTGAAACCAACGAAGCGATATGATGCATAGACTGTAAAGTGTTCATTCTCAAACGTTAAAGTTAATCCATTGAAGCTTTTAATCCAAGTAGGATGATGTTTTATTTACGCCAAAGGACTCATAAATGGTTGAGTTGAGTTTCAGTTAAGTATCATCACTCAGTATTAGTATGTACTCTAGAGTGTTAAAGTGTGGTGATAAAGAAGCCTTTTCATCTCACTCAACGTTTAAAGTGCCTCTAGTCAACGTTTAGTTCTGGTAAAGTTTAAAGTTAATAACTGTTCATCTAAAGTGTTCTTTCTATTTTCCTTTTAAAGGAAAAGGGATGTTACGTGGTATGCAAGTGAACGCACTAATTGCGAGTTACGTCCCTTTGATATGTGTGCTACGTCATTAGTTGGTGTAGTCAGCCATGATGTTCAAGTAAAAAGGATCATCGTCCATCTCCTCTTTTGTTGTGCCTTGTTCTGAATCACTACACATAAACGAACACGTAACAGTATCGTACACACCTTTAGAATCAATTATCAACCCAAGAGACATCCACAGTGGCATCGTACACTCCTTTAGAATCAATTATCAACCCAAGTGACATCTGCAGTGGCATCGTACACTCCTTTAGAATCAATGTTCCACAACATCTCCAGCAGCGGTACTGCTGTTCCTCTGATTGTGTCATTCACCATTAAGTTCCTATTGCACAAAGACGTTTCCCTCAATTATATTAAATTCTACAACATTGTACAGCGTGTATTGTCGCCTTTTGTGCTGTATTAATCAATTTCTTGAAATAAAGTAATGTTTTATATTTGCAATGTGTTTCTTTATTTTGATGATTGTACAGTTAGGAATGGTCTGGCGATCAAAGATACAGGTGGACCATGAATATTTACAACTGATATCAGACCCCTAGGGAGTATCGTCCTGGTGTTCAAGCTATTTAGATAATTAAGGTAGAGGGTTTTAAGTAGCCGCTGACTTTCATTAAATATAGAACAGAGCTCGACTCCTAAATGTGTTGGAACTTTGACTTATTACTGTTGGGATTATTGGCATTGAGAAACGGCAAAAAGACCTCGGACAAAAGAAATATAGTTGATAAAGCCTTCATTATCCGTCTCCATCGTCGAATAAAACAAAGCGAAAGGCTTGTGCTTCAAATATACTGGAAATGTATAGTGATTCATTTCCTGTTTTGTCTATCAGGACAAACAACAATGAATGAATGATTTTTTATAAGGATAATGTTATTGTGTATAAACCCGAACCATTCCACATCGAATATACTAGGAAAATATATTGATACGAAAACTGAATTGTGGATCAGAAAAATAATAATTAATAAATGATTTGTCCTTAAACAAATTTTATTGTGTGTAAACACGGGATTGGTATAGGATACATGATACCAGTTCCCAGCACCCGTTAATCGCCTCTAAAGAAAAGCATTGGTTTCTGAAGTTCAATCCAGCCCGGATGTTCAAGGGGCCTTGCAAGGTGTAGTATGTACAGGCAAATATTATATGTATGCAAAAGAAGCATTTGTGGTGTAGACGCAGTTGCTGTCGTATTGACGAAACAGAAAACTTCTACCTCACATCAATATGACGAAACTGAGTCAGTTTGATCTGGTTGTATCACAAACATCTACATATTTGCTTTCGGACCTTACAGAAACATACAGAAATACCTCATTGACTTCTTACCCTTCCAAACATATTTTGTTGAATGAAACAGACAAATTAGTCACTATCGATGTTCTTCAAGTACTTTTAAATTAAGCGACATATCCTTGACAGACAAGTGTGTTCAATAAAAAAGTCGTCAGATCGATACCCGTAACCAATGCGACAACCTCGTCGCAATGCACGCTATAGAATCAATACCCCACAATATCTCCAGTAACTCAACTACTGGTGATCTTGTCGAATCACTCACATCACGACGAATCCCCTCAACCAGGTTGCATTGCTTCATGTCCAGAGGAATCTGTTTCGGAGGACAATCAAGACTAATTATTCTCCAGTTTTGACGTCTTTTTTATATTTGCAAAAAAAGTCATGACAGAAAAAGGTATGACAAAACAACGTATTAAACTGTGCGTCGGCGGGTTTTCCTTTACGACATCTACTGAAGTCTTGTCAAGATTCCCTGAAACCAAACTGGGTAAAATAAGTCAGTCGAGTCCGTACTATGACCGGACTTGTGATGTGTATTCTTTCGACAGGGACCCTAACGTGTTCAGCTGTATTCTGAATATGTATAGGACATCTGAACTTCATCTTCCGTCCAACATCTGCGGCAATGCCATACGACGGGAACTGGAGTTTTGGGAGATTCCTGAGACTCAGATCTCCGAGTGCTGTTGGATCATCATGTTCCAAGTGGACCAGGGCGAGGAGATCAGTCAGGATTTGGCTGCTAACTTTGAAAAGTCTACCAACGTGGAAACAGAGTCACCTTGTGGCAGATTCCGGGATAGTCTTTGGAAATGCCTCGACCAACCAAATTATTCAAGGATTGCAAAGGTAAGCTGTTGTTAGGAGTATTTCCTCAGAGTTTTAAAAAATGTTCTTTGTGTATTTAGTATGCGCATTCGATTTGTGGGAAGATCATTATACATTTGTCTTGGGATTCTGGGTAAGATTGGGCCCCTTGTTTTTGTTTGTGTATTGTTTAACGCCACACTCAGCAATATTCCAGCTATATGGCGGCGGTCTGTAAATAATCGAGTCTTGACCAGACACTCCAATGATCATGAGCTTCGATCTACGCAATTGGGGTGACATGTGTCAACTAAGTCAGCGAGCCTGACCCACCGATCTTGTCAGTCGCATCTTACGTCAAGCATGGGTTACTGAAGACCAATTCCAACCCTGATCTTCAGGGGTGTGGCCTCTCTCGTATACAGTCCGTAAGAGTCGACTTAAGGATGAGATGGTCAGTCTCTCATGACATGTCATGGTACTCTGATGGCGCAATCATAACTATTATGATAATATCAAACCAAGAACCATAATCAGGGTAAAAACCGTTTGTATGAGACACATTATACGAACGATCAACCCACTTACCATGGTTTCGTCTGGAGACTTATAGTATAATAGACAGTTCATACGAACGTCCCTGGATCATTTTGAAAAAAATGCACTTAACCACAGTAATTCATAGCTGTACAGAAAATTCCAACAAATTTAAATAAGAACATACATATAAACTCGCCCTTATACCCACTTACACTGTACTTCACTCTGTACCTTGGAATGTACAGCCGTACAAAAACATGTGTCATATGTTTTTTTATGATTCATGTTTTCATGACTTAAGGTAAAGGTTGAGGAAGCGTGCAATGGCAATATATATAATATACATTGTACATAAATAACGTTTAAATGAAATAAGAGTCAAAAACACGATCTTGAAAGCATGAAACGGCAGTAAATAAACACGACCATGTTGGAGAATCTGCGCGAAATTATAGCTGCAACTTGACACCATAATTAAAGTTTTAAAGCTAGGAGCATTTCTTGGTACTACGGACAAAAACGGACAACATCTTTCCATTATTATACAAAATCTCTGCTAAATGCAGATTTCTTCGTATGATAAGCATGTGTCATCTGACTATATCATAAAGAAAGTCCATTATACGATCTCGACTCTATGATAAGCATGTGTCATCTGACTGTATCATAAAGAAAGTCCATTATACTATCTCGACTCTATGATAAGCATGTGTCATGTGACTGTATCGTAAACAAAGTCCATGGTACGATCTCGACTCTATGATAAGCATGTGTCATGTGACTGTATCGTAAACAAAGTCCATTATACGATATCGACTCTATGATAAGCATGTGTCATGTGACTGTATCATAAAGAAAGTCCATTATACAATCTCGATTGTATGATAAGCAAGAATCGTTAGGCGCTCTTTGAAATCTTTGTAAAAGAGAGCATGCTCGATTGTACCTCAAACGTTGTGAAAAATAAACACAAACGGCTGGAACAGTTGGAATGTTCTTCGACATGAATGGAAAGTTGACAATTGACAAGCAGAAATCATCCCTGTTTGGCATTGTG